AACACCGACATAAATTTCCACACGGTTCCCTTTCACCCCCTTTTACGTTACACCCTGACCATCCAGAGCCACCGTTAACTGTTACGGGCCATCTAGTGTTTCTCGCCCTTCGCTTAGCAAGCCATACCCCTCTCATTCAACTGGAACAAACTTACGAACCAACGGGGTTTTCATTTGTTTGATCGATTTTGGCGATAATAATGACAATAACCTGGCTGCCAGCTTCGGTTAAGTGATTAATAATACGCTTATGATCGACCAGACGTGGGAGGGCCTCTTTCGATAGAAACCAATGAGGGTTCTTTTATTTGCCGAAAAGAAAGTATTATTGCGATTCAGTTCGTGTTGATATCAAGAGAAAGTATTACTCGTTACTTTGGAATACCTTTGGAGAAATTTTTGGGCGCAGAAAATGGATCATAAATTAACACGTTCGTTGTTACAATGAAGGTGGAAACTCAAATTAGTTAATTTTCAAATTTAAGCTTTATTAACTTTATACTATTAATATAATAGTATGTACTACCTCCTTCTCTCTCTCCTTACAGGAAACTTGAAAGTTTGACAAATTCCCTCCTACAGCCCCGTCCGCGGCAATATAACGAGAGTCTATTGTAACAGCAATAACACTATTTTCAAATGTCGTCCAACTTTCTTTCTCCCCGCCATTCTGTCAAATTACTATGACACTTTATCAATTTTATCATCATTTCATATTTTATATCGCTTCTATCGGCTATCCTCGAAGGGAACAGTAACCATTTATAAAACACGAAACGATGGACAAAACAGTACGAAAGAAACCATCATTGTAGGTATATCGCGTTACAAACGTTGTAAACACGCGGGAAACATAAAAAGAGGAACGGGAAAACGATCGTGAACGAGAAAACGATGTGACTGACAGGCTTCATAGTTTATTCGACAAGTCGGAGAACAGACCGGGAAAGCTATAACATCGTATTCAACTTGTGCTTCGGGTTAACAGCCTGGGTGTTCGACGGTGTACCATGATGTATGACGCGGTGTTAGGTTTCAATCCTCGGGGAATACCATGAAAGCGGGTTCTGTGCCCGATGTAAAATATCGTTGATCCGGCACGCGGTCTGGATTAGTACCAGACACACTCTAACCAGTTCAGCAGCAAGTTCTGAATGGTAGTCACCGATTACCAGCGCACTCGAGCCTTTCGAATTTCCGTTCAAGAGGTGTTATCTCGGATAATCTGAATCGCTTCTCCTACTTTCAATTATGTATTAATGGATTTTTCCCTGAATCGAACATTATATGGATTATTCTCGTTCAACGTGTACGCGTTGGAGGGATTTCGATAGAAGTTTGCATAGAGGTGGAAAGAAAGAAGTTGTACACACTCGGCGTTATTTAATTGAGTAAAATTTAAAAAATGAAAATAATAAACATCCCATGATCCGTCATTTTAACGGGTTCCATGAATCTAGTGTTAAAATTGGAGCTCTCTCCATGGTCCGCCATCCGAAGAATACAATAAAGATAATTAAGCTAATCAGCGTTAATGACTCATTCTATATAATACTGTTAGAAATGTTAGTCAATACTGCCGAATTCCATAATGAAGAAATAATTATACTTAACTACGATATTTACGACAATTTAAACAAGGTTATTATCCATCATTTTTTAATATCGCCTACATAATTCATATTTATAGGATATTAATGTCTCGAATAGATGAATAGAAAATGGAAAGAGCACGTTTCATAACAGCGACATTAATCTACGTATTTTGGTGCGTTGAAACATCCTATGAATGTAAATATAATCTATAAATTCAAAGTTTTCATTCAAGAAGATACATATTTACTGTAAATGATTAGATAATTAGTTTGGAAGCTTAAAAAATGTTTACCCCCACCGCGGCAATATAACGAGAGACTACTGTAATATTAATATTAGCTATGATTTTGGAGAGACTAATATTTACGAAGTAACGATTTAATCTGAGATTTTTGTTCCCTAATAACAGTATTAAGGTTTTCGAATGTTACATCTCCTACGTTGTGTATAATACCCCGATGATTGATGGATGCATATATTACACGGAGTTTGAGCTATGGATTAAAACTTCGTGTCAAAGCCAATGGACTTTCCGTAATGAATAATCATTGTCAATCAGTAGCATAACGGAATTGCCTCTCCTTTGCAAGATTAATGAGCCCTTCATCGATGTGTGCCCGGAGTCGAAGACACAATCGGTACATTACCGATACACACGCATTTCTACGTTTCGAACTAATGACATGGGTATGCTGCATATTCATCGATATATTAGGCTACTAGCTATCAAATAGTGGATTTCAAAGCGTAGGGATTCTAACAGTTATGTCCCATTTGAATTTCTAATCTATCCTGTACAATTATGAATCGCTTTTCATAAGCAGAAGACAATCTTTCGGTTCGAACCGAAAATTGAAACGAAAGCCAGTCGTCGCAGTTAGCAAATTAAAAACGTTCGCGCAGAAACCCATGGTGTAGGTATCTTGACACGGATAAATTATTGTCGAAACTGACACATGAACCAAACCGGAGACCGACGCATGGATCAATCCACGCACGCACGTCAATCCTAGTCTTTGATAACAATTTCATCTCGACAGGTATAGGGATTTTTTAAAAAGTACGTTAAATCTGTACACTCCAAACGATTAGTCATGAAAGTTATTTAATTCATACAAATTGCCCGAATTTTCCTTCGTAAATATTTGCACATTAATGATGAAAATCCTCTTCCCATTTTCCTTAGGAAAGCTTATCTATGCACGGTACTCTACATACATGCATCATGTATACCAATTAGTACGTAAGTCCATAAGACGACTATACGTCTTAAACTGTAACAAAACAGTATCATACCAGGAAACGAGAAATCCTGTCACGTTTGACGTCATATCGCGAAAGGTAGAAAAACAACGATACGTATAGCTAACAGGTAAGCTGGAAATGTTGGGGAACGTTGAAAGGGGATTTAGGAAAGGTACCTTCGGAGATACCTACTCGATGAGGATTAGGAAGTGATTTACAGGCGATTCCCGATAGCGACGGAAACACGAAAGCCAGAATTTATCGCGATCGCGGAGAGTTCTCGTAGTCATGAAGTTTCGAGGTGTGTTATCTCGCGCGTGCACTACCTATGTACTAACTATCAGTTTTCATGAACATGTTTATGACGCAAATAAGCGTCCCTCCGACTATCGAAGCATATGTTTCGCGATGCTCATTAACCCGGTTACGATTCGGTGGCATGCTTAATTCTGTAACGGGACATTTGGAATCGCGCGGACCACGGAGAGGGGTGAAAATGTATTTTGTGTATCGAACACGCTTCCTTCCGCGCGGATTTCAAGCGATAACGCTTATCACGGAATTACAAAGATTAAATGTCCGTGCACGTTCGTTTGCATCGGTTCATTTTGAATTCGATCCGAAAGTCCCGCTAAACGTGTATTTACGAAAATGATTAACATTTGATACCAATTGTAATTTTACGGTTTGCATTTTAATGCGAGCGCACGCATAGAGATTTATTTAACCATTTCTTACTCAACCTCCATGGATAAATAACCGGAGAAAATTATCCTTTCCGAAAATCTAAAGGAAATGAATTTTTATTCAGCTATCTACCGAACTCTACGTTCCTATTAAAGTGTAACTACAATTCGCGGAAGGTAATTACTAGGTATGCCTGTGTGGAAGGTAGAGATTCCAAGAATGCATGCAATCACCAATACAGGTAAGTGCCACTTATGAATTTATGGTACACGTGAATAATAGACAGTCTTTTTATGAACGAATTGTGTAAGATGAATGAGAACATTAAAAAGAGAACTGTTAGACAATGTAATTGTGAGGCATTGTATGAGTCATGGGAAACGGATTTAGTAAAAACACAATGACTATTATGATTGCATGACGTTATTTTTAATACTTTCAATATTATGTTCAAAATATGCCTCTTTAGATAGAAATGGAGAAGGGTTAAGATTTTTGGGACTCAGGGCTATCGCATCTTCAAGGGCCCCCTTGGTCTATAAACTTGATTCAGAAATTTAAATTTACTCTGAATAAAATTAAATAACAATTAATCTTAAAGAAAATGGGTAATAGTAAAAAATTTGTTGAAGGGGCCCTTTGTATAATGGTGCCCCAGGCTATAGCCCCTCTTATTCCGGTATTGGATAGATATATTAAATATTGATAATTGAACAAGGAAAAATTCCTCTAGTTTTGCTCACGTAAGAAAAGTACTTAAATATATAAAAAGACTGTCTATAAAGTAAAAAAATAATTTTAACAAATATTTATGAACCTAAATATAGTTTGAATAGTTCGACATCAGATTTGTGTGTTTATACTTGTAAATTGCTTTAAAAAATGTATCCTCATATTTTGTGTGCTAATTATACAGAGGTAGAAATTCTATCATCGATTCAGTTTGTTAAAAGTGTGGGTAGTAGTTATGTATTCCGAAATGCAATATGGCGGACAGAGGCTGACGGATATTAATGGAAATTAATAGTTCTCTAATTCGTGTTTATAAAGACAAACATGAGCAGCAGCGTGCAAGTTAATAACAGGATTTATCTATTTACACAGTACACAAATAAATTTTCTATAATAATAAATGAAATTTTACTGAAATTTTTATGAATTTTATACTAACAACTGTATTCTCCTTTCATAAATTTCACCAAGAAACTGAATAAATAAGACATATAATTTCCTCATAAATAGATTTTTCGACGTATTTTATAGCGGATGATCTTTCTTCGGATAGCTTCTAAAGCGAGGCAATCCGAAAATATCATAGACATTAACGAATTTACACGGCATTGCAAAACGTACGAATTATGACCGCCATCTTTCCATAATGCGCATTAATTTCGCAAATGCGTAGAAGCGAATAAGCTTACCCGGCAAGCCGTGCGCCTTACATAACCTAGTAAATTTCAAGAATTCCTTACCTCTTGGTCGAATATCCTTCGTACTCCAGTCCAGTGTTCGTTCGTCTAATAAAAACGGTCCGGGTTGAAAGTGATTCAGCTAGAACGCGAGATGTTCCTTCACGGCTATATTGCGGCCTTTATTAAAATGGGAGGAACAACATCCCTCGACGCCGTTCGAAGCTGCCGTTTGTTTGCCGCGTTCCTCGTTGATCCTTCGAATATCCCACACCCGCGCACAAAATATCGACATCGCGACGATTACGGTGACTCATTAGCCGCGCCACTAAATCACTATGATTTCCTCGCGGCGTGCGTGGCGAAGAAAACGAGAGGAAGAAGAGAAGAGAAACTTGATCGTAGGAAATAGTTAGAAAGCAACAGCGGATAGCGTGCGAGAAGCGACGCGACGAGGACGGAAGTGCGAGCGTGCCCGAAGTTAGCCGACTATTAGCGAAGATAGCCGAAGCGACGTGCGGCGGTCTTTCGCGGTACTCAATGGTTTCAGTACCGAGCCGCCACAGGTCAGAACTCGTTGTGCCTCCGATGTGTCGAACATCTATTTTCTCACTGTTTTCAAACGTAATTTCGGTGCTTCTCGTGGTGTATGAATTAAAATCGCGTTGGAAAAGGATTCTCTAATAATCTACCGCCTGTCATCATCGACATCCATCTACATCGAGTATTTATCCGTTACTGGAAATTGGCACTGGTATGACAAGAGAGGTTATTCTTTCCGGGAACGCGTGCGGTCCCGCGAATGTTTATATACAACAGGGCGGTTGAATGTTTCGAAACACGGATTATCTCTCCGTGGTACGTGATTCTCTTCGATGATTCTCAGAAAAACGGAGACACGTGTATACGTACCGGTATACGCGAATCCAATCGTGCTCCGACTCTTCGTTGACTGGATAAGAATAAGAGTGCAGTTTCGTGACACGGCGTAATTTACCGGTAGTGTATAAAGCGTGCAATGGCGGGGGAAACGGTGATTTACATTCGCGAGATCAATTTCGTCGACTGATTAATGCCGATACGCAACGATTTAATTGCATCATCCGTATCGAATCTCTGGATACCTCTGCTGCGTGTTCCTCAAGGTACGTTCCCGTGTAGTGTCGGTGCGAGTAACGACCTCTAAGATAGGGGTATACCGGCGAGTTCGTATGAACCCAGTGGTGCAGTAAACTAGACGCCGTGCCCGGAACGTTATTTGTGGTTAAGTTCGGTTGTATTCGGAGTTTGACGATTCTCGGGAATTCCAACTAGCACAGTCACGTAATGCCAGATAACCAGACCGTTTATTTGGAATCGTAAAACATTAGGAGATTCATCGCAACCGTATAACGATTCAATAACCCCATTCGATAGAAATTAGCTTATCGGTCGGTGCAATTAATTTTGTCGGTGGAATCGAACGTGTATCTCGGTCTCATACTTAACTCACTGCCATTATTTTAAAGTGTTCTTTCATTAAACTTGAACCGTGAATCGATTCATCAAAATCACAGTGATAATTGTGTTTCATAATAATTCTCCGAGTTGCCGTCGCGTCGCTTCAGAGGATTCGTTGATCAACCGCCTAATTCTCTCCGGTCCTCTAACTGCTTCAGACTCAATCGAAATCATTTTCCCTATTTTCCGGAAGAAACTCAGCGATTTTAGCTCGCCATTGGTACTTGAGCGTTCCGGTGAAACGGTCAAAGAGTCCGAGGAGGAAATCCGAGTAACAATCTCGTTTCGTTCAATTAATCTCGCGGAACGGGATTAATTGGGACACCGGTTCGAGATCCTCTGCTGGCGTAGCAATTAGGAGGGAGTCCGCGGTGGTAGAAGTTTCGTGATCGAGGTGGTGGTAGTCGGATCGGTGGAAAGAAGGATTGGTCGAAAGGACGATTAGGGTAGCGAAGGTCGAGCAGGTGACGGGGAGGGTATCGAGAAGGAATACGACGGTAACGTTGAGGAGGATACAAAGGCGTCGGGACGATGTGGACGACGGCGGCGCAATGCAGCAACGACGGTGGCACCGGCAGCAAAATCGGCAACAACAACGAGAACACCGACTGTACCGGCAGCAACAACAGCAGCTGCAATTAGTGCCGGCTCACGACGGTCGCGAGACTACGTAACCGCTGAAAGAGCGTCGGGACGCGGGGGCGGGTGGTTAGGTCGGTCGGTACGTCGTTGAGAGTTGGAGGTTCGAGGGTGTGTGTTCAGTGCGCGAAAGGGAGACAAAATGTGGTGGAGGTGCCGGTGGAGTGTCGCGACTACGACCACGGTGTTCGTGTTGGGGGTTGCCACGGTTTACTCGCAGCTGGAGATATCTGATCTGGATAAGCCAAGTGAGTTGTACACAGTTATTATTATTTATATCTGATCCTGGAACGGGGGAGTGATGGAGGTAATGGGCACCGTTGCTTATATACCGAATTTTTACGGGAACTTTTTGATGAAATACGACGGGGAACGAGCCGGAAAAGATAACTGCGAATAGTCTGACACTTAATTTATTTGGAACCGCTAGGTAATTCCAGTACTCCGGCTTTCCGAATAAAAAATAGACAAATTTTTGTGTCTACTGCATGCTATCATTCTTTTCTGCAATTTTTTTCAGTTTCATTTTTACCAAATGATAAATTTGTCGCTTTTAAAATGGCTAACGTTTGGGAAATGGTTACAGCAGAATAAAATTTTGATTGAACGTCATCGTATTCATAGTAAAGATTGTTAATTAATTATACTTTATAAGTTTTCTTTTAATCGTGATTCAAACTTATAGAACTTATACAAGAATATTACAAAATTGGAGCTCTCTCCATGGTCCGCCGGTTGACAATATTAATAAAATCTTTTAAACCGTTAAATAGTGTATTGAATACATTTCAACCTTTGTATCGCCGTCAGTAAGCTATGACCCGCGGGTCACCAAGTGATAATTTGATAATTTCAAGTAAACAATAATTGACGGGAATTAACATACCCATTGCGGATTAACAGCATTTACGTCAGAAGCAAACGTTAAAATTACAAATGTTATCAGCCGTATCTATATTTTATTAATTATCAAGTTCGCCATACCGCAATCTAATCGTTATTGGCAGCATCATTTATTTGTATATTTTTAATTTTGCGTCGCCTCCGAAAAGGTTGAAATGTATTTAGTATACTATTTAACGATTGAATAGGTTTTATTAATAGCTGTGGAGCATCGATATAAATGAAATAAAAATTATTTTATACTTTCAGCGATTATTTTCTAGTAATCGGGGAACATACATAAAAAAAAATCCCCCTCTTTTGAAATCTGTTAAAAATGTACTTTATTATTCCCTCCAACATTATTTACATTGAAAATATAATAACGGTGCTTGTACCTCCATCACTCTTCTCATCGTTTCAATATTTTTCCTTATTCATCAAATTCGAAAACATGTTTTCAATTGTCTAAAAAATTTCATATCTAATTAGAATTTAAATGAAACCAGAGTATCTCGTTTCAACTCCCTTTGACTTATTACATGTTACATTTCAATTATTTCGTTAAAAGCGTGCTTTTACTCGAGACACGAAGCTCTCTGTACCGTTGCTGGTAGCAAATTAGCAAGAAATTTAAGTGCGTCGCGTTTGTCACTGAAGAAGCGTCTCGTTCAGTAGTCGGATGGCAAAAAATTGCGTGTACGCTTTAGTACGTACTCAAGTACGTAAAAGTAAGGATTCGTCGCGTTCTGAAACAACTTCGCGAAGCTCCGTTTCGTCTGGAAACCATTAACATTATCTTTCATTGAAATGAACATTTTATTTATTTATTTATCGTTGCATAGACTACTATGCGTTGGTACATTACTGCGTGTACATCGGTAATTAACGCGTTTTTAATCACAGTGACATGGTTGGAGTCCCGGATGCGTGATATAAGTACGCATTATATAATCGTCGAGGATACGCGTGAATTTCCACGTCGATGAAAATCGAAATTACGAACGTTTCTTAGAAATTCTTGACGGGTCTCGTGATTGCATTTACCGTGGAAAAGTCGTGCGACGAGTATGCGAGAAAGAACGAATTTCCAGATGGACCGTGTTCGGATCTCGTAAATGTCAGAACCTTTAACTTATCACGTTAAAGCTGGTTCGCATTATCATAACCACTGATCCAAGCGTCTGGCTTATAGCAACAATGTGCATATGAGACATTTCGAAGATTCTGATTGAAATTAGCATAGTTATTTTCACCGAGTGAACGAAACGTCCACAAAATTGATTTTTATTTTAATGGTATTTTAGGATATGCCATAAATGCTATTTTATGATAATTTTATGTTATCAAATCGTGTCAGAAGTTTTACTGTTTAAAATCGTCCGTTTGATACGACGAAAGCTAATGTTTCATTGTTCGAACTAAACCGGGCGGAAAAATGAGAATGTCATTTCCGGAATGTAATCGCGTAGGCGTTTCTTTGTTAGAGAAAATTAATATTAAACTCTAGAATCCGTATATAGAGGTAATAAAAATGTAGAGCGAAAGTCGCCTTATCGATTCAAGCTGTGCCGCGTGGAAAGCAAACCTGAAGGAACGAGAATGACAGTTAAACTAGTTTAATTAAACCGCTGCTTTAAGCTCCTTCTGAATTTATCGTTGACTAACAAAGGAAAAGAAATTCCCGGAACAGAAGGAGAAGGGAAAAAAAGCTGAAATTTCAATAGCGAAGTTCAGCTTAGCGAGCCATAAGTCGGAAAATAATGTAGCACCGACTTTGCAGTCTTCGAAACTTCCCTGTTAAAGTTTTCTATTTATTACAACGATCTTTCCTCTCGCAGACTGCTTAATTATTGCTCTTTCTTGTTCCATACTTTCGATACAACGTAAAGTTGCGTTGGTTATCGATTCGATTCCTTGTTTCTAGAGGAACGTTGTTAATGAGTTGACCTGGTACGATAAAAATAGGGAAAAGCATTGCGTTCTTGAATTTGATATTTCAAGTTATTAATGCAATTTTTGTGATATTCAGAATTTTTATTTTATGACTTGCGATTATGAAAAATTATTATAATAATTATAATTATATATTATTCGGATATTTATAATTTTCGGGTAATTTCGATTTTTTGTTGAAATACCTAATTATTTCACTGATAGAAATAATAGCAAATAAAACGTTGCTTTGAACATCAGCCGACAGATCGACGAATGTGATAAAGCTAGGTTTAACAACTCACCGTCGTTTTTTCTTCTATTAATCAATGAAATTTCAAAAGGATCCATAATACGGTACGGAATGTGTCCTAACGGTACCTTTTCTGTCTGATTATCGCAAAAACTCGTAAAAGTTCCAACGTTCCTTCCTTCCTTTCAAACGGATTTCTAAATCCATGGTCTAATATCAGAGTGCCGGTAATCGCGGCAAATACGCCGGCCATTAATTACGGTGTCGGGTGTTAAAGAAAACTTAACGTCACCGTGTTTCGTAAAATATCGCTACGGAGGATATTGTTCACGTGTTCGTAGGCGATACGTCGAAAAACTGTTAATTAGCGTGGCACACACGCAGGAAAAAGCGTTCACCTCTTGCTTTTTCATCTTCGTCGACACCTGTTGACATAAATGTTCAACAAACCCGATTGAAACGCAGGGATAACATCCGATCACACGGTCACGGTACAGTTTTGTAACTGGAACAGGCAATTGCGGTTGCAATTAACCACTCACGTACACGATGAAAAGGTTGTAGTATTAATTTACTTCGATATTCGTTTCTACGACTCTTCAATCCCTGGTTATCATTTTGTTTTAACCGGCAATCGGAAAAATTATTTTTCCCTCTGAAGAGTAATACAATTTTTTAATTAATTATTACAGCTAAAAATTAAAGCTTATCATAGCCAGATTCCAGTTTTAAGAAAATAAAAAAATTACGAGCCATTAAAGTGCTAATTACCCTGTCGTTTGGACACTTGTATGTTGGTATTTTATGATTCGAAATAACCCGGTCCCAAATTTACGGGGATCGTAAAGATCGAGCGATAACACAGTAACTTAATTATTTTCTGGTGTGGGTATAAGTATAATGATGTTTGTGAAGAAACACCACTACGAAAGTGTAGGGAATTAATAATTGATTATCTAGTGCAATTTTTGTTTCTTGTGCCTTTTATGATCAGTTCTTCTTTTTTTTTATTTTTAACTAAATACTTATCTTGACTTAATATTTGCATATATTTTTTTTATAATTAAACTTTATTCCTATTTTGAAAATAAAATAATTTTAACTTCTGGGAATGAATAGATTAATATTTATAATTCAATTTATTTTTTCTTAAATTCTTAAATTCAAGTACACTGAATAAAGATAAGAGTTTGATCTTTTCAAACTAATTCCTCTACATTTTTGCTAACGGGTCAAAGTGGTCGAGTATCTGGCGCGCGAAGGGTAACGCCTGTTCCACGTCAATCTGGTTTCACCGTAGGATATTTTGTCCGTGACTTTCAAAGGTATCCTCTTTTTAGCATGAAACCTTTAGACGAGCGTTGTGCGGTAAACGCATAGAAACCTCTGTGTATCTTGCAAAACTGAGCTGTGGCTAACTGAACGCCCACATCGAGAGCTATTCAATTTTGCAAACCACCGGTGGTAAAAGTAACCGTGGTTGCTTTACAGTTAACTAACGGTTTCAACGACTTAAGCAGAAGATTAAAGGCATAGGTTATTTACTTCACTTTTCATGAAATCTAGTACAGTAAAATATTAATTATTATTCAAACGAGATACAAGTTACAACGTATACCAATGGCTAATTTTTCTTGACTAGCCAACGGGTTAAATGGTCGCAGACGTTATTTGTCAAAAAGTATCACATCCCTGAAAGGTCCTAATAAAAGCATCCGCTGGTGATGGCGATAAATCTTGCTTCGGTAAATTCACACGTCTTTGCTTGTATTCAAGCGGGCAAAGAGTTGGGGACAGTCGAATGTGGCAGTATCAGCATCGGCCAGCGAATGCCAATGGTAATTAATTTTTTGCGTGCGACTCTCGGAAGCGGAGGAACCGCGTACTGACCACGAAATCGGCCTAATGGGTAGCCATTTGTCATTCCATGAAGGGTGGAAAGCGGGAACGTTGAACGGAACAGGGGAGGGGGCGCGGAGACCTTTGCACGTCCTCGACAAAGACGATAATTTGCACGCGACTTCGTACACACCTACGATCGCCGGTGTACGAGTTGATGGAAACACGAGTAACGTTGTCGCGTAATTGACACGAAGATCGAGGAAAACAGCAAAATAACGCGAGTCCGAAACACGCAGCTTTAAAAACCTCCTTATCCGACATCTGACAAGCGGTCCC